GGGAGCGGTCAGCTCTTGGTCAACCATGCTTCCTCTGCACAGTGCCTAACTGCTGTGCTCCAGGGCTGACCCTGTTCCTAAGTCTCTGCTACTATGAATCCAGTTGCTATGAACATTTGTGTGTGGGAATAAAATTGCTAAGTCTTATGTTAAGTGTATATTTTTCCTTATTGTCAAGCTCTTTTCCAATGCACCTCTTTGCGTTCCCACCAGCACTGTGTAAGAGTTCCAGCTGCTGCACATTCTGACACCTGGTATTTTCAGTCTTTTAAATGGAAGCCATGTTGGTGTGTACCTCACTAGGTTTTTTAAATTCAGAGATTTTTCCTATAAGGCATGTGCACTCATTGGAAACACACATGCACAGAGAGAAAGAGACAGAAATTACTCCCTGGGAGGGTGCTCATACCACCATCCCTTCTCCTCCATTACCTTCTTAGGATTTGGGGCATGCATGCACACACACCTGGCATTTCAAGCTGCCGAGTCTGGGACTCAAACCAGCGGACCATGTGGGAGTCCAGCACTATAACCAATATGCCACCTGCTGGCCCTCTCAAGGTAGTTTTTTCTTCTTCTTTTTTTTTTTTTTTTAGAATTATTTTATTTAACTTTATTCATTCATTTATTTATTTAAGTTTGACCAGAGATGGGCAGTGAGAGAGGAAAAGTGAGAAAGCAAGCTGCCAGGACTTGAACCTGTGGTCAGTCATGTGAGAGTCCAGCACCCTTAGACACCACGCCACCTGCCAGCCCCTCTCAGTGTAGTTTTAATTACAGCTCTCTGATAACTAATTAACTTTATTTATTTTAATTTGACCAGAAAAGGGGAGAGAGAGAAATAGAGAAAGTGAGAAAGCAAGCTGACAGGTCTGGGACTCACACCATGGTCAGCCATATGGGAGTCCAGTGCCCTTAACCACCACGCCACCTGCCGGCCCCAACAGCCCTGATCTTTCTAAGCTAATTATCTTGATTAAATCCTCAGCTTTAATCTCCCATAGATAGGATCGAAATATATGCGAGGTCTTCAAAAAGGTTGTAAAATGCATAGCATAAAAGAACTAGGTCTGGATTTCAAAAAATGTTTACACCAGAATATTTGGTTCAATTTTCCATAATCTCTTTCAAATTCCCACATATTTTGCCAGTTTTATAATGAGAGCATGCTATTATAGTATTAATATTCTTGCATACCATGTTGCAGGTACCATAGAAGATGTTTTTGGTGGTAGAATGAAGATGTTCTAGAATCTACCATTTTAAAATTTGTACCATAGATGAATCAAGCATTTTATTAGATGCATTACATATGTCTCCCCCTATTTAATCCCCATAATTTACCTTATGAGGTAGGCATTGGTATTCCTGACTTTCTAACTGAAACTTCAACATTTTTTTTCAAAATTTGGTTAGCTTTTCCTGTGGCAGTTCCTGGCACTCTACGTGTCTCTGGTCATTAAATAATTAAGGCGCAAAAATGTTTTAGAAAACTGTTGTGCTATCCCTCCTTCTTGCATTCGCTCACCTGTTTGAAATGTGCTGAGAATGTAAGACCGCTGGCAGCTTGCACGGATCCCAGACCGGTGAAGGGGCAAGTCAAACGAGCCTGGGGGAGTCTGGAAGGCCAAGAGGGGTTGTCTGAGGCTGCATATGCATCTCTTAGCCACACAGCTCTGAGAACTATCAATGTGTCCAGATCTCCGAGAGGGGGAGGAATCTGAAGAGTAGTCAGTCAGCCATAGTCTGAAAGGACTGATCAGAAGGCAGGAGGGGAGACCCCCTGGCTGCCCTTGGTGACCACCTTATCTCAGGTAAGTAATTCAACTGATGGGAGAATGGAAAGGTCTCTGTACCATACACTCGGCCTCCCTGAATGGCCCGCACCAGGGCTTGATTGTCCCGGAGGCTATCAGGTACATCCTTTGGCTAAGGTGACAGGAGGGATCCTTAGTCTCAGCCAAATGGCCCAACACCATGAAAATATACCTAGAATGTCATTTATCCCTTGGTGCAGCGGTGGCTCCAGTTCCAGCCAGGATCTCCATTCCCTAGACCCCATTCTCCCCCTTCCAGCCTTAGACACTGCCGCGCCCTGGCTCTCCCTTTCCAATAAAGAATGTCTTGGGGTAACTGAACACTCTCATTAGTTCACACACTTCAGTGCTTGGTGTGCTGCCTCCCAGGGATTTGTGTCCTGTGAAGCATTTAACCCGTCAAGTCCCCATAGAGCGATAATGGGGTAGCAGGATGAAGGATTTTCTGTGTGCACTGGGGTGAAAGTGGGGTGATGAACCTAGACCCTTTCAGACCTCTTCACTTCTGTATCTCCACAGCTGCTCCACTTCCCTCAAAAAAAAAAAAAAAAAAAAAAAAGTTTGGGGACCAGCAGGTGGCATGGTGGTTAAGGCACTGGACACTCCCACATGGCTGACCACAGTTCAAGTCCTGGACCTGGACCTGGTGACTTGCTTCCTCACTTTCTTTCTCTGGTCAAATTTTTAAAAAAGTGAATGAATAAATACAATTTAAAAAAAAATTTTTAAAAGGTTTTACATTCCTTGCCCACCTCTCCCTACCCAAGGAACACTGCACTGCATGGACAGCAAACCAAGGAAGGAGTGGCTGTGCCGAAGCGCCCTGCATGTCCTAAGGACTTCTGCTACGTTTGGCTTGAGTTTACACAAGGCCGCCATGTAGGAATTACACTCATAGCATACAGAATCCGAGACTGGTCCAGGTCACACAGCGGCAGAGCTGGGCTTTGAACCCGAGGTCAGCCTCCAAGGCCCATGACCTTTCTGACACAATGCCACTTCCTTTTTCATCTAGGGAACTTCGTTTCTCATCAATCCTGAGTAGGTCAGAAGTAAGCAGGACAATGACCTCTCTACCCCAACCCCAAATCCTTTCTCAGTTGCTCCGCTCCTTGACACAGGAAGCTCACTCCCCTTCTTCCAAACAGGGGCTGGGTAAGTTATCGACTTCGAAACGAACAACAGACATATTCTGACAAATACCTACTCTGTTGAAATGCCAGATTTAAACTTCGCGTATGTGCGTACGTGTGTGGTTTTCCTTGGAAAGTGTCACTACGTCATTAACATCCTGTCTCGGCCTCCTGACTGCCTGGAGCTGCAAGGCAGGCTACCATGCCCAGCTTCCAGATCTAAACTTTCAAAACCACTCTTCATTATGTCTCAAAAATCCTTACTCAGCTGAACTCCTTATATTGTGGATACACAGTGATAAAGGTATGTATGCGGAATGCTTAGTAAGCAAGTTTTAATGTTCTCAAGTGAGGAAAAGAAATGTGATACATAAGCTTCATCCCATTCTCCCATCCGGCCAAACACCCACACCTATCAGATACTTGAATGACGAAAACCAAATAGTGTATGTACGAACATGTTTTAAACTACTAGGAGCGTCGTAAAAAATCGTGTTTCCATCACTCAATTTCCTAAGTCCTCTCCCTCTCCCCCAAGCCCTATCACGTGGCAGTTCTGGTCCGTTCTCCAGTTATGGGGCTGCAGACGGTGGTGCCCTGTGGGGATTCTCAGAAGGCAGCTGGGCTGAAGTTGGTTTCCAGGGAGCAGACCATTCAACCCAGCCTCCACACCCAGCCCTGGCATCAGAGGCCTGTCCACAAGGGAGCTGCTAAGCAGGCAGCTGGTTTTCTCCTGGGAAGGCTTCTCACTACCCCATCATATCTGCACTGGAAAACTACATCCAGAAAAGGTAAGAGGGAATTTGCTTTGATTCTATCAGAAAAGATTTACAGGACTGTCAAGGCTCTCTCCCACTCCGGCCCAACTTTGAAGTCCTTATTATGGAACAGCAAGTGCTGTCTGGGCCGCTGCCACAAGGCTGTCTTCACAACTGTCAATGTGGCCTTGAACCCAGTCAGGCCTCTCAGTGACCTTTCCAGGGCTCTATCCCAACTCACCACAGAATTCTGGGAGTCATGAAGCAGAGGAGCCTCCATCTTCCCAAAGCTCATAGGGAATGAGGGCACCTAGAGACCAGGGTGAGATCACATAGCTGAGCTTCCTGCCTCATGTGTGAAGGGAAAACTCGCCTCTCACAGATACGGGGCAATTGGCTTCTTGTATGTGCTGTTGCTAGAAAAGCTAAGATACAGCCGGGGCCAGGAAGGAGACAACTACCAGGAGGGGCTGGTTAGGGAGGAGCACAACATTTCTGACCCAAAGTCCCACCCTGTGCTCCCCCGGACTCCATTTTCCCAGGTGACGGAGAAGAGGAGCCTCAGGATGAATGGTCCCCCGAGTCAACATTCACCCAATGCTCACTTAGAGTCTAGAGCAGGGAGGCAGGTTCAGGTGTCCCAGTCGGAGACTGGCTGGACACCCAACCTGCAGCAGTGACTGCTGAAGACCGCCCTGAGCTAGCGGACTTGCCTGCCGTAGAGCAGAACGCGAGACCCCTCTGGGCCGTGGGGAAACCACAGCTCCTTCCACCCTCCCCCAGATCATGTCCTTGATATTTGGACACAGGTAACGGCAACTGGGACTAGCTGGATTCCTCCACGGGGGCCAGTGGGAAACTCCTACAGTTCACAGAGCTCTTCCCGTCACAGTGAGTCAATAGCCGGAGAGGAGACATCCCTGAGAGGGAAGTCTAGGAGGTTGAACAAACCATGATATGAGGTCAGAACAGGAGACCGAGGGCTGATGGCTGAGTGGGAATATGAAAGGAGAAGCAGCTTGGAGGTGGCCAAGTCCCCCAGACTGGGATGACAGGAAGTAGGCTCCGTGTGTCATGGGCTCTCCTGCTCAAGGAAGTTAGAGGACTTCTGAAAGCGGCTCTTCAGGACAGGGTAGAGGAGGGATGAGGGGACACCTGAGGAAATGAGAACCTAGAGAGGAGCCGCCTCAATGACAGAATAAAGAACTTCCAGCCCAGATCCGTTCAGAATGTTTCCTCCTCTTGAGACAAGCCACTGCATCAAGGCCTCAAACAAACCACACGCGGCTCTCTGAAGGCAGAAACCAAACCCTGCTTTATAAGGCTGCGGGGCCATCACTGGCTTCTCTGCTGAGACATGAGGGCCAGCCATGCAGACAAATGACAGAGGGCAAACCTTCCTCACCTTCTCCCCAGACCACAATCCCTCCAACCCTCCAGATATCCATCTCTGCAATTGAACCACTTCAAAAAATACTCTGATGAGGGGCGAGGAGGAAGAGTGGGGTTCAGGCTGGTCAGCAGGCCGGTTCCTGTGAGGTAGCTGACACTGGTGCTCCTGGGCTGGGGCTTGTGGAGAGAGGCCAGTCACGGGCTCACAGCAGCCAGGAGAGAGTCACTGCTTGACTGGGATGTGGCGGAAGAAGACAGTCGTGAAGTCCGCCCGGAGTACTTGATCGTCGGTAACATTTTGGAAGAGAGGCCTGGCTCTTTGCTGGTGCCCTCACTGTCCTTTGAGAAACTGGGTTTCTTAGGGAAAGGGGAAAGACCAGATTGAGGCTTCTTGGGCTTGGATGTGGTCCCACCTTCAGAGAGCAGGAGGTTTCCCTCAGAGGCACTGTGTTTCCTGAGGGGAAGAGGTGGAAAGAGGATGACCGAAACACCACGGCTGAGACCGTAACCTGTGCTCTGCCTCAGAGCCTGGACCAGGCATCCACGATATCATAGTGCTGTAGAACTAATTATGTGGACACATCGGGAACCATAAAATACATTTCATTGGGCCAGCTGGTGACATAGTGGTTGAGGCAGCTGGACCCACATGGCTGACAGCATGGTTCGAGTCCCAGACCGGGCGGCTTGAAAAACATTAGAGTGCGGGTGCATGTGTGCCCAAAACCCCAAGAGAAGGATGGAGAAGGGATTGGGGATGCTTTTTCACTTTCCCTCTGTCTCTCTCTTGACTGCATGCACCTTGTAGAAAAATTACAAAAAAACAAAACAAAGCAAATACATTTCATTTACTCAAAGGCTTGAAAGCTAAAGCAAGTGTGTGTGTGTGTGTGGCAAGCAGGAGCACTGTGGGCTTCCTCTGGTGGGTAGGGATGGCTGAGAGGCCGCTTCAGAGGAGCTCGTGCTCCTGCTCCACCGCCCAGGCAAACCAAGAGCCAGACCAGGATGAGGACAGGGAGAGGATGCCATGGTGTGCACGCTCACTCCCACCCGCCCCCTGGGGACAACGCGGGCCTTACCATCACCACCTGGGAAGGGAGGAAGAAAACTCCCCAACTCACACCCAGCACCCCCGCCCATGCCCGGGCGGCACTCACCCCAGCTGGCCTGTCTCTAACTTGCTGAAGGCATTGAGCATCATGTCGCCCTTTGGGATGGTCAGAAGTGACGTCGGGAGGGACCACTAAGGGCAAAGGAGACAATGAGGCCAACAGGGCCAGGCAGAGGCCAGGCTGGAGTGCCTGGGGTCAGGACTCTCTCCTGCCTGACCCTTCAGGCACGGGCCCATGTGGGGAAACATCTTGGTTCTCTCCTGAATCACACAATGGGCTGAGGCCTGAAGAGCACTTTTTGATACTTGAATGAAAGGCACCCCGGGGACCCTAGTGGCAATCTTTCCCTTGATAGAAAATGGTCGTTAGCCACAGAAGCAAGGCATAGGGTCCATTCCTACAACCCAGCTACACTCCTTGGGCCGACGGGCGAGGGGCTGAGCAGGGCTATGCCCCTGTGTGGGCTGGGGCCACTCACCATGGGAGCAGACTCAGAGACAACGCCTGTGTGGAACCCTTTGTAGCACCAACTCCGAAGAAGATCTACTCCTAGGACAAGATTAGCAAGGGTCGGGACTTAGGGTGGAATCAATTGGTCAGTTTCTTCTATCCAGAGAGGCCCATCTCCTTGGCCTACTGAGCTTTAATTTCTCACTAAACATGGCCTCCTGCAGGCAGGAAGGGCACATCACCTTTGAGCTTGTTGCCATGGTACTTCTGCTCCCACTGGGTGGTGAGAATGTTGAAATATCGTGGCTGCTCAAAAAAGCGGAGATAGCGAGAGGAGATTCGAGAAGGAAAAATCCGTTCAAATTGACCACGGCGAGAAAATTCATCCTCCATCTCGACCAGAATCCGAACATCGTCTGGTGTCAGGACGTCCAGCACGGATGCATAGAAGTCCTAGGGCCCAAGAAATGGGGAGGAAGCAGGTGCGAGAGAAAGAGGAAGCTGGGGACAGAGGGTACAGCCCGAGCACCTGGGACCCAGGACTCTAATGGGACCAAGGAAGCCCACAGGCTGGCTCCAGCCCCATCTGTCCTCAGGCTACTGAACTTAGCTGGGGGGTCAGGGGAGGCACCAGGCTCAGTGGTTCAGTGGTTTATGGATCGAGTTAAGCTCAGGTTCCAGCACCTCAGATTTGGCACTAGTCCTGTGTCTGCCACTCTCTCATCTGGCTCCCTTGTCTGCTCTAAGAACATCCTGCCTGCCAGGGTCTCACTGCACCCCTTGGGAGGAAAGAACCCAAAGGGTAAAAATCAGTAGCCCTGACAACTAGACCAGCCAGTACAGCATTTTGCTAGCGTGGTGGTTCTTTTTTTTTTTTTTTTTAAAATTGGAGAGGTTTTTGCTATAGGGTACATGCACTCGCCAGACAGACAGAGAGAGACAGAGAGATAGAAAGCGAGAAATCACCCCTCAGAGGGGAAGGCCACGCCGCAGTCCCTTCTCCTCTGTTCTCCTCTTGGGATCTTGGGCACCCACGCACACGTGCCTGGTGTTTTAAGCCACCGGGTCAGGGACTCGAACCGCGGTCGACTATATGGGAGTCCAGCGACACAGACATTACACTAACTGTTGGTCCCAAATGTGGTACTTCTTGAAACCATGACAAAGACCATCGACTCTATCCTGAATGACGTACGCAGCACAGACCTGCACATCAAGGGCATCACAGCCCGGGTCAAGAAACCCAGCTTTAAGAGAGGAAAACTTGGGAACCAGCAGTTAGCGTAATGGCTATGTCGCTGGATTCCCACGTAGTCGACCGCGGTTCATGTCCCGGACCCGGTGGCTTAAAACTCACGCCGGGCGCGTTTGCGTGCGTGCCCAAGATCCCGAGAGGAGAATGGAGGAGAAGGGATTGCGGCGTGACCATCCCC